TCTCTCTCTCTCTCTCTCTCTCTCTCTCTCTCTCTCTCTCTCTCTCTTTCTCTCTCTCTCTCTCTCTTTTACACACACACACACACACACACACACACCTCAAAAAAAGTAAAACATCTCTGTAATTGGCAAACAGATTTTTAGGTACCTAATAGATGTGTTCAATTTGTATGTAAGAAATAAATAACTATAGTATGACTCTGAAATACTAAATATCTTGCTAAACAAAATAAATCTATATCTAAAGCCCAGTGTGGTAGCTCACACTTGTAGTCCAAACTGCTTTAGAGAGTAAGGTGGGAGTATTGCTTGAGTCCAGGAATTTGAGATAAGCCTGAGCATGATGATGAGGACCCCCCCTCTCAAAAAATAAGAACAACAATAATAATTCTATGGCTATACTTTACCTCTCTGGGCTTAGATGGTAGTTATCATCCTTAGCAAAATTTACTTAAAAACTGGTGGTACAGAAAACGAACATCCTACTCCTCCATGATAGGCCCAGGACTGGCCTGTTGAATCCTCGGGGCTTCATATATTACTGGTCTTTCATCACAGATATGTCATAGTTAACCTAGTCATAATGCAACTGTACAAGTGGGTACCTAGATACTATTAGATACCCTGTAGAGAGGTGGTATGTCCATCATCAGACCACCCTTTTAGTTAGAAATTAGACGAGAATGGATATCTTAGCTTATCAAAGGCAGTTTTCACAAACAGAAGGTATTTAGGCTAGAATGTCTAAGCATTCATTCTTTGAAGCACCAGTATGGCCGCTAAACTGAGTAACAGTCCCTCAGGGAACAAGACATTCAAGAAACTACCTGCACTAAACACCCATATAACAGTCTAAGAACTTCTGTCACATTTGCTAAAAGTTATCCTTGAAATTTCATACAGGAATCTGTAACTTATATAAGASATTTAGAAGTCTCCAGTCTAATATTCTACAAGACATCTTTTYCCAACACCTTTCTGGCAGCCTAATTTCCTTGCATTAAAAAAAATAATAATAAGCCATTAAGTAAAAATAGAGAAGGCAAAAATATCCTGGCACCTCTATCATGTGTACCAAGCTTTTCATTCTCACATTTAATAAGATGTAACCAAACTTAAATACTTTAGTTAATTGTTTTAAACTAAAGATTAAAAAAAGAAATTGAAAAGAACTGTAGCCAAAAAGCAAGATAAAGTTTGCAAAACAGCCATAAATATGAACAAATAAATTATTCAATACTTTAAATAAATAATTTTAACCTGAGTGCGGCACTTCCTTGAACTTATCAAACATTCAGTAATCACTGAAGTTGTAGAAAATTCCAGCTTTGGAGCAATTCCCTGGGAGGGAAAAAAGAGAGTTGTTAGACTTTCCATTTAAAATAGATAATTGTTAGTGATGGCTTAAAGTAACAACTACTTGTCAAGTCCAGGACTTTGTTAGTTTGAACTTTAATTAAAGATCAAAACAATACAGCAGTGCCAAATTTTAGCTAGAAAGTATTTTATCCATGATGATTTAATTATAAGTGATTATATTTTTATGGAATAATTAAGATTCTTTTTACCAGTATCATAGTATTTCCCTGTTGAAATGTTTTAAGATTTGTAAATTATGATATAATATTAAGGTAAAAATGTGATTTTATACATAACGGACTTCAGTTCTTTTAACTTTAACAACTTAGGACAAGTTTAACTATATAATCAAGAAATTGAACTAGTATAACACACTAATAAAATTAAAATAAACTGAAGAAAAAAACTACTCTAAAAATTAAAAAAGAAAATCAATATGTGTATTAGATTTAGTTTTTCCAAACATACACATATATCAACATCATACTGTATATCATAAATACATACAATATTGTCAATTAAAACTTTAAAAAAACAAATACTTTAGACTCAGGAGGCTGAGACAGGAGGATGGTAAGTTCAAGGTAACTCAGTGAGACCTTGTCTCAAAATAAAAAATAAAAAGGGCTAGGGATAAAGCTCAGTGGAAGAGTGCTCCCAGGTTCAATAGCCCATTTCACAGAATGAATAAATCAATGAATTAATCAAAGAAAGACTCTGAATAGTATTTAAAAACTTAAAGAAAATCACAGCTTCTAGATATGCAGGGTTTTTTTTAAATAAAAGATAAGTCTCTACCAATTCTTTCAACCTTTTTTTCCTGTAATATAGCAGATATTAAGGTCTATAGAGTTTGGCTTCTATTACTAATTCATCAGCTTGAACACAGTTCTGAGGTAAGTGGAGACAAAGGGGTAGTCACAATTACCTGAGAAAATATTTGGTATGTACACAACCAAACATTAAAGAGTAACACCCACGCCCAGAGCAGTTTCATTCTAATATAATGGGAGAGAAGCAGACATTTACCATGGCCTCTACGTATGGACTATACAAACCCCACCTGTGACAAACCGAGTTTAAAGTTTCGAATATCACACCTATAACAGGAAGGGTAAATATAAATTGTATACAAATTAAGAGTTTGTTTTCTGCAAACACCTTTTATTAATAACATCTACTCTACCAGCTTGTAAGTTATCTATTACTATGTATCACTCCAAAACTTGCAGTATAAAACATTAGTAATTACTTATTATCTCACATATTTTCTAATGATCAGGAATCTGGTAAAGATTGATTTGGATGTCTATGACTAAGAATATCTTCTGAAATTGTAGTTACAATATCACTAGAGCTGCAGTTATATGGAGGTTTGACTGGTGCTAGAGAATCTACTTCCCAAGGAGGTTTATTCACATGGCTGTTAGATGGAAGCTTCAGTCTCCTTGCAGTTTGGGGGCAAGATTCGCCTTTTCATCATTTATATCTCTATACTGTTGCTGAGTATCCTCATGACAATGATTGGTTTCCCCAAAGTGAATGATCCATGGCAAAGCAAGAAGAAAGCTATAATGAACAGACTCAGAAGACAAATACTGTTACTTCCACTTTCCTTTTTAGATTCATTAAGTACAGACCATACTCAAGGACAGAGGAGTTGGTTACCTTTTCAGTGGAGGACTTATCAAAAAAATTGTGAATAGGATTGCAAGGCAGGGTGGTGTACACCTGTAATCCCGGTGTCTCTGGAGGCTGAAACAGTAGGATGTCAAGTTTGAGACTAGCCTCAGCAATTTAGCAAGGTACTAGAAACTTAGTGAGACCTTGTTTCAAAATTAAAAATAAATTTTAAAAAAGGACTGGGAATGTAGTTAAGTTGTAAAGTGTCCCAATATTAAAAAAAAAAATGTCCATAGGTCTAAAACCACCAGTCTGTCCTCTGACCAAAAAATACATTTATTTCATAGACTAAAAAAAAAAGGAGGAAGAAATGTATTCTTATCATTTTACAATGCGAACTTGAAATCCACACTGTTGGCACATAAATAATATCCTGGTATAGGTAAGGTTCTTCAGGTGCCTTTCAGAACAGCTCCTAAAATATAGTTCTTCACCATCAGATGACCTACAAACTACAATTATCTACAACACAAATATTCAACGTACATAAGTATAGCAAGCACAAGGCAATTACTATAGATATTCTTGTTCAAAAAGTAAAAAAAAAAAAAAAACCAAGAGGTAAACAGGGATCACTGGTCCATAACAATTCTGAAATCCAGCCAGAAAAATTTTTAAAGTTCCTCGATTAGGACTTAATCCTACTACTACTCAGAAATATCCATGGTACTTGGTATGACATTCTTGCCTCTTCCATTATCTGACTCATATTAATTTGAAACAGGATATAGATAAAGCTATGAAGTGTTCTGAGCTTGGGTTCTATCAAAAGAACACTGAAGTTACAAAAGCATTTTCATTTTGTATGTCTCTCTTCATTTCAGATCAAATTAGTGGCATTTTTGCCAACACAATGCTGTTTTATGTTTTACATTTTCTTTCTTTCTTTCTTTTTTAAGACAAGTGCCACACCCTTCTGTTGTTATCCTTCTGAGGTTACTGAGAGACAATGCTCTTAAGCATCTTAGAAAATCTATGTTTTGTTTTTTGATTCTTTTAATTATATATAATAATTCTTTTTGACATGATTATAAAATCACGGAATATAATTTGTTGTAATTCAGTCCCAATACCTCCCCTTTCTCTCCCCTTCTTCCTTCCCCTATTCCCTTCCCTTTACTGATTTGTCTACTATATACTTAGTTTTTTTTTTTTAAATTAGTATCTTGTGAATATACATGATGGTGAGATTCACTGTGGCACATTCACATATGTATAAGGGAAAATCAATGAAATTCATTCATTGTTCTTTCCTTATCCCATGCTGCCTCACTCTCCTTCATTCCCTTTCATTCTACTCCACTGGTCTTCTTCTGTTTYATTTTGTTCGTTTTGTTTTTTTCCTCAGAAGATAGGATATCAATATCCAGAATATACAAAGAACTCTGTAGGGATTCTGACCATGGAAATCTACAGAGAAGAGTTCCCTGGTAAGCAAACTCCTGGGAGGTAACAGGCACCCTGTTTCCCACCTTAGATTGCTGTGCAATCTCTCTTAGGATCTAGTAATAGCTAATATATGTGCAATGACTAGCTGGTATGGCAATGCCCTAAGAAGCCTGTGAGTTAGAGCCTCATCAAGCCTTCACCTTGATTGCAGGCACATAGCTCCTGGGAATGAAGGAACTTGTTTGCTAGACAACTACAATGTTTCATCAAGCTCTGGTGCTCCTAGATATGTCTGCCTAACAGTAACATCAGACAATGGACTTTCTTGAGAACTGCACAAAGGTCATAACATTGCATAYTGTAACTGTGAAATGTAACTGCAGAATAAGCAACCTTACTGATACTCTAAACAATATGTAGTTATGGAACTAATGACCTAATGTAACCTATTAATATAAATAAAGTTTGGCAGCTTAGTCTCTCAGCCACTCTGCCACCATCCCTGCCTCTGTGCCTTGTCTCTGTATCCTCTTTATTATTATTCCTTACATAACTCAAAAAACTTAATGTCAAAAAATCAATGAACAGGCAAAAGAACTGAATAGACACTTCTCAAAAGAAGAAATACAAATAGTCAACAAATATATTTTCTAAAATGTTCAACATTCTAGGAATTAGGGAAATGCTAATTAAAACTGCATTGAGAGGGCTGGGGTTGTGGCTCAGTGGTAGAGCACTCGCCTCACACATGTGAGACCCTAGGTTCGATCCTCAGCACCACAAAATAAACAAAATAAAGATACTGTGTCCATGTATAATTTAAAAATTTTTTTTAAAAAACTGCATTGAGATTTCATCTCATTCCAGTCAGAGAAGCAATTATTAAGAATACAAATAACAATAAATGTTGGCAAGGATGTGGGGGAAAGGTACACTCATACATTGTTGGTGGGACTGAAAATTAGTGCAAATACTCTGGAAAACAGTATGGAGATTCCTCAAAACACTGAATGGAACCACCATATGACCCATATGATCCACCATATGACCAGTTATCCCAACCTTTGGTATGTATCCAAAGGATTTAAAATCAGTATACTACACTGAGGCAGCCACATCAGTGTTTATAACAGCACAATTCACTATATCCAAGCTATACAACAAGTCTAGGTTTTCCTTCAATGGATGAATGTATAAATGAAATGTGGTATATTTGACATAAAGAAAAATGACATTATGCCATTAGGTGGTAAATCAATGGAACTGGGGACTACCATGATAAATGAAAAAGCTAGTCTTTGAAAGTCAAAGGTCGAATATTCTAATATGCTGTGGCTAATTCAAAATAAAAGGGGATTAAAAAAATAGAAGAAAATCTATGTTTGATTAAGTGATTTTCTAAGGCAGTGTGCTGGATCTTTCTGGAGGTTTAATTGAGGATTTTGTAGTTTTTATCTTCAGTTTTACTATTAGAACATATTTTTCTGAAAGTGGCCTGAAATAATTTTTATTCAGAAGTCATTTCTTAATTTTAGTATTATCTTCTAATGAGAAAGTTGGTAAAATTGGAAACATTAAATTACATCTTTTTAAAAACAGCCTTTCCTTTTGCTTCTCTCCCTCTCCTCTCATATTATGCTTTAAATACCAAAAAGAAACCAGAAAACCCTTCTAACAGTCTGTCTACAAGCCTCTTTGGAAAGACACCTATTTCATAAAATATCCTTTACACATTCCACATTATTGCAGGTGACAAATGTGTTGTTAAACATTCTGTCATTACAAAACAAGAATTCCCTGTTTTGCTAGTTTCCAATAATCATCCTCACTTCCTGCAAATGCTTATCTGACAATTTCTTCAAGGACCCTCAAGTTTTCACAAACACTATAAAAAAATCCCTCCAGCTTCTGTCTTTTCCATAGAGCTGCTTGAGTGTCCTTGCATACCACAATAGGCTTCCACCAGAGTGGGTGATCCCAGAGAGCAAGGAAGAAGTCCCAGTGCTTTAATGAGCTAGTCTTATACCTCTTAGTCACAAGATACAATGACTTAATAGGAATGGGACTATTTCTGTCTTTGGAAGAGAAGAGTAACAAAGAATTTCTGGATATACAGTCATGTGCTACTATGATGGTGCTTCATCCTTAGTAATGTGCATTAGGCAATTTTATAGAGTGAAAAATCAGTATACTTACACAAACTGGAAGGTATGGCCTACTGCATACCTAGTCATATGGTATGGCCACCATTGTATAAGCAGTCTATCATTGACTGAAACATTGCTATGCAGTACATGACTGTATTTTATATTATCACTGCCTGAACTGTGATTTATCACTTTAACTCTACCCATATATTGCTGGTCACATAGAAAGTACTCAATTAATATTTTAGCATTATTTTATTTACTGACCTTTTAAAGCCCAGCTCTACCTGTAGCTCCAGAAAAATAGAACTAAAAGAACCTGATGGTTTGGATCTGGACTGTCCCCTCAAAGTCTCATGTGCTTAAAGGCAGGGCTTTGGGGAAGAGATTAGATCATGGGGACTCTCTTATCGTGGATTTAATTCATTGATGCCAAGGGAGTAGGATCTAGTTGGAGGAATTAGGTCAAAGGGGGTATGCTCTGGAAGAGTTTATCCTCTCTCTGGCCCTCTGCTTTCTGGCTGCCATAAACTGAGCAGCTTTCTTAAGTCATACCCTTCCACCACAAAGTTCTGCCTCATCTCAGGCCAGAGCAATGGAGTCTGCTGACCATGAACTAAGACCTCGGAAATCATGAATCAAAATAAACTTTAAACTTTCCTCTTCTAAGTTGGTCTTGTCAGATATTTTGAACCCAGTGATTATAAGCTAACACACACAAGGACTGTATATATATATATATATATATATATATATATATATATATATTTGTTTTATATATAGAGAAAAAATGGTTTATCTTAAAGAATTACTTTATATGAGAGCTATGTTGGAGATAACAAATCCAAAATTCATGGGGAAGGTTGACAAGATGAATACTCAGGAAAAAGTCAATGTGCAATCTTTAGTGTGCAATTTGTAGAGCAGGCTGGCAGAGTAGAAATTCAGGTAGTAGTTCTGATACAATCTTGAGGCAGAATCCCTCCTTCAGAAAAATGATAGTTTTTGCTCTACATGTCTTCAACTGATTGAATAAAACCCCCCACATTAACAAAAGTAATACCTTTTATTTAAAGTCAATTGATTGTAAATACAAGTCATGTCTACCAAATGCCTTTACGATAATACCTTGAATAGGATTTGTTCAAACAACTGGTCACCATAACTTACCAAAATAATAAATAAAATAAAACATTATATCATCTCAAATGTCAGTTTCTCTATAAAGTTTACAACAAAATGCAATTCATTCAGTCAGTTCAATATAGAGGCATTTATTAAGTACCTACTCCATACAAGTGACAGTGGTAAAAGTTAAAATTTAAAAATGAGAATGTCACAGATTCTTTTTTATGGAGTGCAGTTTAGGGAGAAAATACCATTATTATCATTGCCAGTGCATCATCACTATCCCTTGATATCCACAGCTACCATGTTGATAACCAACATTCACTAAGAGTTCTGCTGTAATCATTTATAAGGTTACCTTAGTCCACCCAAGAATCCAGTAACACCTACATGCTACTGTGCTTTGCCCAAGGTTTCTGAGATAGTCCATTACAATGCCAGGATTTAATCCCAGATGTGGTCTGAATACTTGCCCCATGGATGAGTTCAGAAGAAAAACCTGGGTCTCACAGGAAATGATGCAGAATCACAAGAATTCTGAAAAAGGGTGCATGGTGCCTGCAAGGGCAACAAACTATGGATTGGACCATTTTTTCATTAATATTTAAATATAATTATTGATATGGCTGGATTTATAATTGTCTTCAGTTTATAAATGTGCCTTTTTATATTTTTATATTCTTTCTAGGAATCTTAACTGCATATGCATAATTAAGTAGTAGTAATCCAATGAACCCATAGTCTTTGACCCTCTGTTGACTTTCTGTGTATAGGTTATGAAATGCATTCAAAGGAACAGCCAGTTTATCTTGGCTTACACTTGTTCCTGGACTCTTACTGTCTCTCCTGTACAATCAGAGCTTTACAGCCAGCCTTTTATTGGTTCCTTGTTTCTAGGATCTCCTCCTTAACTTCCTAAAGGTGTGCTGCTGCTCACTCCAATAAGAATTGCAATTGGCCCAGTAAAATGTGGGGTTTCTTCATCTGCTTTCAACTGAATTCACAATGTTTAGCTGACAACACCATTCTCATAATCTCACTTCCCAAAATTAATTCTGATCCCTCTGGCAGCAAAACTGCTGGGTATTGTGTTCATCCCTAGGCCAGGGAATTTACAATACGTACTGACAAGCAATGTATATGAGTATCCCAAGCAAGAACACCAGAAACTATTGCTATTTTTACCTAATACTTTAATAGTTTTTCAAGCATGAAATTTCAGTTGTCTTGTCATTGAAGTTTTTAGTGACAATTTTGTCCAGTTTTATAGACACTTACTCGTAGACCAGAAACCCTCCTTTATGTGGAGGGAAAAATTGTCAAACTTTACATTGCCATTATTAGAAGCCCTAATTTTTGTATACTTTTTGTCTTAGTAATATAACAGCTTCCAAATATATGCAAAAGTAACTTGAAGGGCTGGAGTTGTGGCTCAGTGGTAGAGCACTTGCCTGGCATGTGTGCAACCCTGGGTTCAATCCTCAGCACCGCATATAAATAAATAAATAAAATTAAATATCCATTAAAAAATAATTTGAATTAAGTGATGAAAGATAAATCCATGTTAATAATCTACATGCTTAAGTTTATATTACCATATTGGTATAATAATTACTTTGAAAAGACCATAAATTTTCAATATACTGATTTTTTCATTGTGGATTTCAACATGATTCTAGGAACACTCTTTAAGACTTCTACAGTAGAGAAGCTTGCAAACACACACTGAAATTATCCCAAAGGAGGCATATGTTCATAGTCTTGCTAATAGGTCAGCTTTTATGCTTTCAGTAAGGTGATACTGATACTTGTTTGAATAAAGCATATCATAAACCTAGACTTACAAGAAAAATTACTTTATTCATTATATTGGCTCATATTTCACCCAGGTTTCCTTATTCAGACCAGTCTGAAATTTTCTAAAATTAGTATAAAAAATATCAGTCCAAATAATTTCAAGCTAAACAACATTTTTCTTTAYCTCATTTGAATAAAATGCTCTTCTCTCAGTTTCTCTGTGCCTACTTTCAGGGATAGAAATATTTTTAAATCATCCAAAAAAACTTAAAGCAAGTTATAGGAAACAATAGGAGAGTAACCTGTGATTTAATCCAGCTTGTAATTTTACATGAATGAATATATATTTCCACTTCATGAACATATTGCAATTAATCCATACAAATACCTACTAACAGACATTTCATTATTTCCATTTTTCACTACCATGAACAATATTCAAGTGAAAATTCTTAAGTCTCTTGTATTTGTAAGGTATAAACCTAGAAGTTTATATGTATGAGAATCTTTGTCTTCACTAGATAATTTTGAATTCTGATTTGTTCAATATTCAGGGCATATCTGTACACAAAAGTTTTCAATTCTTTATACTTTTGATATCAGAGTTATTACATTTTGCCAACCTTACAGCTATAAAAGTAAACTCATATGGTTGTTTTAATTTATATTGCCCTAAATGCTAATGAGATGAATATCCTTTCACATATTTGTTGATCATTTATTAGAGAGAAAAAAGAAAGACAGAGAGACAGATGGGATGGGGATAGTGGGAGGGGAACAGAGATCAGAAGAATATAAGACTATATGAATACTTGGAAATATAGAGTTATACAAGCCTAAGTTTTGTTAAATTATTTTCACTACATTTTGTGATGTTTAAAATAACAATTTTATTTTAAAAATTAAGTTTTAAACAAAATTAGACTTTGAGTTAGTTCTGCACATTGAAGGTGGTATATGCTATATGTTGGCTCTTTTTTATGTTAATATAGTTAATAGCTATAGTTAATATTGGGGCTAATTTTGACATAATTGTACAAATTTATTGGATACTTCTTCAGTCCTCTGTACTTCCCCTTTACCTCCCCCGTTCCCTTTCCTCTATTCTACTAGTCTTCTATTTTCTTATTTTTTTAATTAATGCATTATAAATACATAACAAAAACTGATTCAGAAAATAGTTAGCACTTACTCGTAGACCAGAAATCCTCCTCATGGTAACCTGGCGGTTTGAATCATGGTGTCCAGAAATTTGGTTTGGACCCGGGAACATGAAGTCTCTTGTATTTTCATCATATGTAGACAGTGTTTCACCCACTACAAGAAAGATATCCTATGATTCAAATTATAACAAAATATTCTATTTAGAAACCAAATCATCAAGTATAACATATATATATATTGCCTGATGTCTTATTAGATACCTGCTCCAGGGCCATGTTTATCTTCTATGAAAGAAAAATTAGACACATATTAAATATTTTAACATGTTTTCAATTTCAGAAATATACTACATATTTTAGCAATTCTTTTCAACTCCATGCTTGAAGAAAATGGGGCTATTCATGTAAACTTGGTGCATACCTACGAGTTCCTAGAAAAAAATCCATTTAAAAATAAAAAGTTGGGGGCTGGGGTTGTGGCTCAGTGGTAGAATGCTCTCCTAGCATGCACAAGGCACCAGGTTCAATCCTCAGCACCACATAAATGTAAAATAAAGATATTGTGTCCACCTAAAGCTTAAGAATAAATATTTTTAAAATAAATAAAGAAATAAAAATTAAAAGTTGGGCCTGGCATGATTGCACACACCTGTAATCCCAGAGGCTAGGGATGCTGAGGCAGGAAGATGGCAAGTTCAATGCAAGCCTCAGCAATGGTGAGGTGCTAAGCAGCTCAGTGAGGCCCTGTCTCTAAATAAAATAAAAATAGGACTGAGGATGTGGCTCAGTGGTTGAGTGCCCCTGAGTTCAATTACTGGTACCAAAATGAATAAATAAATAAATAAATAAATAGTTGGTGTGACATTTATACATCTAAAATGTAATTACCACTCTACAATTTTTCTATCTCCCATTTTTTCCCTTTCTGCCTATCTGTTAAAAAAAAATTGCATAATTTGTACAATTTGTGGCTACCTGAATTAGGTATATATGTAATATTTAAACTTTTCAGGTTACTAGCATTTAATAATATACATCTGATTTTCACATAAAATAATGATTTGATTATACAGATTTCTCCTCAAAATCAGAAATAAAACTAGCATCTATTTTAATGATGTATCTTATCCAGGGATCTAGGCTTACTATATAACTAAGGATATATTCCCCTCCATTCTCAATAATAATCAACACACAAAAGCTGGATTAATTGACTATCAAAAATATATATATTTTAGAAAAATCTCAAAAACAATTTTTAATGACTGACTAAAATATCCTAGAATGTTAACAGGTTACATTCCGTTTTCAATTATTGTTATTTATCCAATTTCAGAACAATGGGCTTAAGTACCAATTTTTATGTCAGTCTCTCTATATTATTAAGTACCAATCTTATGTCAATCTTTCTATATTATTTTGGCCCATTGGCATTTTACACATAGTGAACCAATGGTAAAATATCAACTTTGTTTTTAATTTGAGAAGGAGAAAAGATGAGATTTTTTAAAAAATACTTCATTGAAATGATTTCCCATATCAATTACTTTACCAAATAAGTCATACAGTACCTGGTGGAACTAGCTGTATCAACTCGAACACTGCTGTATCATCTGAGAGTTTAAAGAAAAAATTCCTTAAGTAAACAATTTAATAATAAACAAAAACAAGTTATTTTAATCTAAAAGCCAAAGTAATCACTGACAACAGGTATGTTTGTATCTAGTGGACTATATTTTTTTATAAATGTAAATTGTCTATTACTTAATTGGAGTGGTAAGTATAGTTAAAGTGAATTATAAAATTCCTTGTACTTTTAATATGTCAAAATATCTCATAATAACCTTATAAAATATAAACAAATAAATTACACCCTTTCTATCTTCTGAGGACCCAAAAATGATATAATCTCCTCCTTTCTTTGTCATTTTCAAACATCTCATTCAATGTCCTATCTATATATTTAACCTATAAGGAAATATATAACAAAGGAATAAATATTCCCTTTAACTCATAACTTGTGGCTATACTGAGAAAAAATATATATAATCCTCCTTCTTAAGAACCTTGAGTTCCACTGAGAAAACAAACATTAAATAAAATGGAAACACAAATAAATATACAATTATAAACTACAAGGACAACACAGGCATTGTAGATAGTGCTATCAGATGTTATAACAACAGGTCCTATTCCAGTCAGGAAGGCAGTGAAAGCATCTCTGAGAAACTACTCCTAATCTAAAGCATGAGTAAATTATAAACTGGGATTTAGGGATACTAGGGAAGTAGTTTTGTTTTGTTTTTGTTTTTTTCCCCAAGCAGAAGAAACAGCATAGGCAAAGGCTCTAAATATAACATTGCAAGGCAATCTGGGAGATTAGGTAGCTCAAAAACAAACCTCCTTCTAAAATCCACTGGAAAATGTAGAAAACTTWAAAAAAAATGCTTAAAGGCACAGGAGACCAGGTCTGAAACTCATGTAAGAAGGAAAGACAGATGAGCCTATCATTTGAGGCTATTTTCTCTGTTGGTATCAGACAATTCGGATAGAGGCAGTTAAGAGGATGAGAAGCTGAAAACAACTTCTGATAAACTCATGAAGAAGATGAATAAACCTTGGAGTTTCCTGGCCTTGGGAAGAGCAAGGAAAAAAGACCTGGAAATAAAGACCAATGACCTGATACACTGGCTGAATTATATGTTTGGATCACTGAAAAGATAAACCCTAAAATAAAGAATAAAATAAAAATAAATAGCCAAGGAAGGGAGGAAGATGGCGGCTGGGAATGAGTGAGCCGCTCTGTGCTCCGCGCCACCTCCGCCGCAGCGTATGTTGCTGCTTCTTAAAAGAAGAAGTAAAGATCATCAAAGGACATCTGTCGACAAGGATTCAGCACCGTGTCAAGAAAAGGGCCTAGATGGAGTGAATC